TTCGCGAAAATTTTTTTTTTCACCCAAATCGTCACTTAGCATGGTTTTGCACTCACCCCTTCAATTACAAAACTTTGTAATCTGGTGGCCCCAGAATTGGAAAATTGATAGTTTCTCTCTTACTCTTAAGCAAAAATTGACTGAAGAATCTTCACAATGAAACTGATCTTGACAGCAGGGTTCCCAGAAATAGTCAAAATAATATAGAATTCTCCAATGTGAAATGAAGGGAGGGGACGGATGAGGAGAGAGCTTCTCACCTCTCTCTCAACATTTTGTGATTATTATTATTTTTTTTTTTCATTTTTCTCCAAACAGTGCATGATTGATAAGAGAAGGAGAAGGAGGGAAGCAATATATTTTTGCTTCATTTCACTCGAGAGTAGAACTTTAATATAGATACATGTATGTTCCAGAATTTTACATATAACATAGTTTACGTAATTTAAATGCAACAAAAAGCAAAGAGAACTGTTTGACTGATCAAACTAAGCAATACAGTGTTATTTGTTGACAGTTCTGGTGATGGATTACACATAGGCGCCTGTAATGGCCAGCAATTTGGATAACAGTGCTAGGAGTGAACGGGATTCAATTGTTTATGATGATGTTGCATCCCAAGCAAACTTGAGCACTGACGGCATTACTGCACCAGAAGATGCTCAAGAAAAGGTTGATACTGTTACACTTGTTAAGGAAGATGAACGTGTCAAAACACCTGGTCAAAAAGAAGTAACAAAGGAACGTAACAAGAAAGGAATCAATGGACAGAATAAATTGAAAAATGTTGATGGGGATAGAGGAGCAGAGAGGAAAGATGGCTCTAGTGAGCTAATCTCAAAAGATAGTGTTGATAAAAATGATCACGATAGTGAATCACAAAGAGATAACAGGAAAATTCGTACAGACACTGACAAGGAGCTGTGGACGCCAGTGAGAAGTGATTCCAAGGAGAGCGTGGAAAGTAAAAACAGCGATAACAAAGAAATGGGAGATATTAAGGGACAGGATTCTCGTGATAACCATCCAACAAAACCACCACGACGGCATCCGCCGAAAAGACGTCTGCCACAACCTCCACAATCTACAAATTCTACATCAAAGCCTGGTCCTTCTGAGAAAAGTGAATTGGAATCGTCGACCAGTGATGATAGGCTTTCTGTGGACCAGAAACCTACAGAAATTGTTTGCAAACCTGTTTTAACATCAAGTCCGAATCAAGATGAGATCCCTAACTTGTCAGTAGAGACAGTTGATAAAATAGATACAAGCCGCAGGGTTCTATCATTTCTTGACGAATCAAACAAAGGTGGTACGAGAAAAGTGGAGTCCTTTTATGACTTTCTGTACTCTCAAGATGATGCTAATTCTGCTGTGGAAGTCACCTCTCAGATAATTTTAGAAGAAGGTGACAGAATTGGTAGTGTGCTGTCAGATTCAGATGATCATCTTTACGATTCTGTTCCTGAGGATAGTGTTGCAGATAGCTTCAGTCGGAAAAGTGGTTTTGAATCATATGATGAAGTTATTGTAAATCAAGGTATGGATTCATAATTATAAGTTAAATTCATTAACAATAGATGAGGTTGGGGGTTGGTGCCTGGAAGGATGATGGGACTGAGAGCACAGGAGCCGAGTCCCAAGGTATCCATGGCAACCGTGTGAGTGGCAACCACCCTCTGGCATGGCACACTGAATGAAAAGTCATTGGAGATAAATTGATACTTACCATAAGGGGAGGGAAGGGGAGGGGCAGAACAGCATGAAGGCTTTGCAAATGCTAACATGAGTGAATACACAATGAATCTCAGAAACCAGAACCATGCAGAGGTCAGGC